GGGTGTGGTGGCTTTTCGGGGGGAAAAAGCCACTACCCAGCCTGAAATCTCCCTGCTTTCCCAGCCTGTGCAATGTGGTAGTCTGACCACCAGGGGGCACCCGTGCATCATACCTCTCCCTAGGGAATGGCCCCCGGAAGACCAGCAAGATCCCCCTGCCAGTCCCCCTGTGACCTTAAGAAGCAGCTGAGAGCATGCAGCATCTGCTTGGCTGAATTTCATTTGTTGAGCTCCACACCATTTTACTAGCTTCAGGCATCCTTTGAGAATAATCAAAGATTCCTCTCGCCTTCTATCCCATTTTTGCACCTCTGCAAGAACAGAGGACTCATCACCCCTGGGCATGCAGCCTGCTGCATGGAGCCCTGGCCAGGTTAACCTAGGTGCTTGACCTAAATGTTTCCTATTGGAAAGTCAAAGGCTTTGGAAATAAAAGATTTTTAAAACTTAAATTTCTGTGGAAAAGTAGCCCACATCAGAGATTAGGAACCCCAGCCACCTGCCCATGTGGATTCTGTTCTGCACCGCCATGGCCTGGCCTTGATCAGCTGGGCCCCTCTCGTGTGACTTTGGCTCCTTACCATTGAATTCATCGAATGTTGGTTTATCACCTACCACATCCAGCTTTGTTGGAGATACACTTGTTGCACTCTAGTAATTTACACGCTAGGGAGAAAGGAGGGTAAAGTGGGCTATTCTGAGACAGGGCCTTTGTGTAAGAGCTGGGGGTAAAAGGACACTCACCTGGGGGTGTGTCTGGAAGGCTTCCAAAATAAGGCAATGACCACTCGGCCCTGGAAGATGAGTCATCTAGCAACTCCTCTGTGGCATCTGGGTAGACCTGGGGCAGAACCATCAATAGAAACTTAGGTGACTGAGATCCTAGATGCTGAGGAGCCAGGGACCCAGAGAAGCTCAGATGTTATTAGCCCAGGGTAGCCGAGGAGGCTTCATTCATTTAGTCATTTAGCTTTATTGAGCACCTACTCTCTGCCAGGCAGCAAAATGAATCAGTAATAAGTCAGGTTGGGGCAGCATTCTTTATCACATAGGGAGGGTGTTCACCTGGTTATGCTCACACTGGGTACCCAAATCCTGACTCCAGTTGTCAGACAGATCCACTCTGATCTGGCTATTAAACACACAGTAACGCCCCCCACCCCCACCCCGGAAGGTTTCTTTATTTAACTCAGTCTCCATGGAGATGTCAAGAGGATTTGTTTGAAATAGCTGACACATACTTTGGAATGAGAAGCATATATGTATCATTTACTATTTGAGTTTTTTCAAGTTCTCCTTCCTCACAAAGGAGACAATGGGTTCAAAACAAAACAACTCAGAGATACTTCCTCCCTGGGTTCCAGGCCATTTCCATCCAGACGTATTGCCTCTGCTGGGGCTACACGGTTTTTTTTTGGAAAGGTTTTTGTTATAGAGTGCATGTGCTCTCCAGAAAGACAGAGAGAGACAGAGAGACAGAAAGCAAGAAATCACCCCTCAGAGGGGATGGCCACGCCACAATCCCTTCTCCTCCATTCTCCTCTCAGGATCTTGGGCACGCACGCACATGCGCCCGGTGTGAGTTTAAGCCACCAGATCCAGGATTCAAACCACGGTCGACTACATGGGAGTCCAGTGACATAGCTATTACACTAACTGCTGGTCCCTCCTGGGGCTACATTTTTGACATAGATCTCACTATTGTAGCCAGAATGAGTCTCTTTCCAAACTCAATGGTGTAAGAAATTGGAATTATTTTTTTCTATTATTTAATTTCTTTTTCCAAGGTGTTCCATCTGATTGTCAGAAACATATCCCATGTATTCTGACTCCCTGCTCCCTGTTTTCCCCAGGATGATTCCCATGAACTTGATTGGTGTTAAGGCAGGACGGTTGAGAGGAGACAGTCCTGGAGTCTCTGCTAAGCCTGTCCACACAGCAGCCCTAAGGTACAAGGCTCTCTTTACCCTCCATGCCATAAAAAGGTGAGCTAAGCAGATCCTCCAGGAGACCCGGTGCCTGGTGTCCCTGCACTTTTCTGGGTAATTCAACCATTGAACTTCCCCTAGGCTTCTCACTGTGTAAATATTTCACACCCCCATAAGTAAAATTTAGCAGGATCTATGAGAACAAAGACAAGAGACAGCAGACTTGCCCTCGAAGAGCTTACACTGCAGGGCTCAGCCTGCAGTAACATACTGGACTGGAATCCATATAGTTGACCAACGGTTCGGATCCCCAGGTCTACCTGGAAGCACAGTGGGTGCATGCATGCGCACTCAAGAGGAACTAGACTGAGGAAAAGGGTTGCAGAGCGATGAGACCCTGTCCAAGGTTCTCTCTTTCTCTCTCTCATGCACGTAAAAGCATTATTAAAAAGAAGAAAAAAAGAAAAAGAAACAGCAGCAGCAGCAGCTTAGAGCAAGAGAAAAGGACACAGAACAAGTATTTTAATATAAAAAAAGGAGTTCAGGACCAGCAGATGGCATAACTATTACGTTGCTGGATGCCCATGTAGTCAATCTCGGTTCGAGTCCCAAACCCAGTGGTTTAAAACTGATGCTGGGCACGTGTGGTGGGTGCCCAAGACCCTAAGAGGAGAACGGAGGAGAAGGGATTGTGGTGTGGTTATCCCTCCTGTGGGGTGATTTCTCACTTGGTCTCTCTATCTCTCTTGCAAGCACATGCACCCTATAGCAAAAAATCTCTCTCTGAAAAAATAAATAAGTAAAAGGAAAGGAGTTCAGTTTTGAACATGTACCATTTGAGTTGATTGGCAGAAATTTCTGGAGGCAGGGATGGAGCCTTTGACATACAGGTGATAATCTGACACTGAGAGACAATAGTAGTACTACTAACAATAGCTATCATTTTGGGCTGGTCCTGTTAGCCTAATGGTTAAAGGAGTCACATCTGACAAGCCCAACTGTAGTTCAAATTCCAGCCCCAATGGCTTGAAAAACACGCCTGGTGTGTGTACATGTACACCCAAATCCCGACAGGATGGAGAAATAGAGAAGAGAGTATGGCATGGCCGTTCCCGATGTGGGGGTGCTTTCTCCCCGTCTGTCTCTCTCTCTGGACAGTGCACGTACCCCTTGGGAATTGAAAAAAAAGTATAGTTAATAAATGAAACATCTCCTATGTCCCAGGCAATGGCCTAATATCTTCACATGTGCCATCTCTTTTAAATGGGGTTACTATTATTTGTTTTTGTCACCCCAGTTCACAAATGAGAAAGGCTTGCAAAGATAAAGGAACTTATCTAAGGCCTGGTAGGCATGGAGGCTGGGTGTCAAGGTCAGGCTGAATGGCGCCAGGTCTGTTTCTAACCAGCGAACCACATGGCTTGACCAGAGAAGAGTTTTCACCTCCCCACATGTGATTTTACCAATTGGCTGTGAGCAGTTGAGAGGATCAGTGCTGTCCTTTGTCCTTTGGATCATCGCATTGCGTTGTGCAGGCATGGCTCTGGTTAGTGTTATTAAGTGATTTCCCAAATTTTTATTGTCGTATGTGGCTGTGAAATTTAATCTTAGAACTTCAATTTAGTTCCACAAACTTTCACTGAATATTTAAAAATGGTGGGAGTAAGGGTAGGATTCAAAGACAAAGAAGACAGGGACCAGCAGTTAGCGTAATGGCTATGTCGCTGGACTCCCATGTAGTCAACCACGGTTTGAGTCCTGAACTCGATGGCTTAAACTCACTCCGGACACGTGTGCATGCGTGCCCAAGATCCCGAGAGGAGAATGGAGAAGAAGGGATTGCGGCGTGGCCATCCCCCCTGGGGGGTGATTTCTTGCTTTCTATCTCTCTGTCTTTCTGGGGAGGGCACACACCCAATAAGAAAAACCTCTCAAAAAATAAATACATAAATAAAGATAAAGAAGACATGATCCCTAGCCTTGGGAAATTCCTAATTTGTGTGTGGGGAGGAAGGGGGAGAAGAGATAAACTATTCAAACCAGCTCTGAGTGTAGTATATGGGGACTGGGACCCTCTGGACTCTCATCTGGCTGCAAAGATCTCAAGACCTCGGGCAACTTCAGCAGCCTGGATGCAGGGCTGACTATCCATCCAGCAAGCCAAGTGCCTGTAACCCAGACACTGTTAGGGGCCTCAAAAATGTTTTTATTTTTCTATTAAAATTGGGAGAAAACAATGCGTGTATTAATGATGATGATGAATTCTGTCTAGATCGTATTTGCTTTATATCAACACAGTAATCAAACATTGATTGAGTGGTTGAGGGAAGAAGCCCATGGAAGCAAGAATGCCTAGAGCTCATGAAAGTTATCATGTGACTCTGCTCTGATGACCAAATAAAGTCATGTGATGCATATCGGACTTGATGTGGTACAGAGAATTCCCCTTCCCTCTGAAGTAAGATATCCTGGAACTTGAGGTCATGTTTTATCATTGATTCAAAAAGGAGAATCAATACCATCAAGATTCAAACTTGAGAGAAAGATGATCTTAGAACCTCAAAATATAGTCCTTGAAAATTCAGGGAAAGAAGACAGATCTAAATAGCAGCATCTCCTTCATGGACCCAAACTTTGAATGTCAAATCCTAGAATTAGTAAGAATCAGTGGCTAAGAAAGAAAGCGCAAAACATCAAGAGCGAAGGGCATGAAGGGCACACTCTGGAAGCAAGTGAATAATCATGGGCTCTGCTGGACACGCCAGAAGGAGGCTCAGCCGTCTCATTTGCTTATATTTTACAGCCCGTGGGTGGGGACAAGAGGCATGTCAGGACTGCAGGGGCTACTGGCTGAGGGCACAGGCAATCAGAGCCCCTCATCAAGAGCCTGAGCAGGCTGGTTACCTCAGGAGAGGTGAAATGCTGGGACCAGAGCATTGAGTGGCTTCGGTTGGAGGTGACTATGGAGTGGAAGTCAATTCTCCACGAATTGAGGTGGTGCAGAGAACAGGCTGGTCAGTGTGACTTGGAGACTCAGGGGATAGGCCCAGACAATACCTGCTCCCCAAGCACCTCAGAAGTGGTCCAGGGTTTTAAGCTTCTTTTAAAGTTACCACAAGGACCTCTGGGGGTGAGGGCAGTTTAGAGAAGACACGTGAAGACTGAGATTAGACAATGACTCATGCTTGCAAACACTGACCAACTCCACCTTGTATCTGAAGTGCAAAGTGACATTTCTCACCCTGTCCTCAAATAAATCTTCCCTGTGCGGCATTCTCTGAGGACCTCAAGGCCTATCAAGGACTTGGCCCTGAGCTCATTGAAACCACAGCTGATTGCCAAGTTTTGCAGATGTTTGCACTGACTGCTTTATGTTTTGCAATATTCCAGAGCTGTTCCCGAGTGACACTCATCCATTCACCAAGTTACTGCTTAATAAGAATGATCTACAAAGGGTGACAGCTCCAGAAGAGGAGAAGAGGGAAAACTGCCTCCAATGAGAGAGGATGAGCAAAATAAATACATAAATAAACACAGCATCCTTCTCAATAGACTGGGGTGCGGAAAAGGGAACCTCATTGCAGAAACTCCAAGGAAAAAAAATCAAGCCAGATAACAGTGTTGATGTAGGGACAAGACCATGTTTATTGTCCTTAAGGGTGCTGGGAAACCCTTGCCGGGCCTGGGGACTCCTGCTGGGCTCATGTTGAGACAAATATAGAGATGGCCCAAGGTGAGCTCCTACGGACACTTGTATCAGTTCCACAGCTAGGAAGACTCAGTTCCCACAGAGAAAGAAGGCTAACTGTGAGGGAAGCCCGAGGACCTCAAAGCTATACACATTGAATAACAATGAACGATTCCTGCTTTTCCATGCATTTACGTATAGCATTGTATTTAATAATTGAGTGAACCAGCAGTTAGTGTAATGGCTATGTCGCTGGACTCCCACATAGTCGACTACGGTTCGCGTCCCGGACCCGGTGGCTTAAAACTCACGCCAGGCGTGTGTGCATGCGTGCCCAAGATCCCAGGAGGAGAATGGAGGAGAAGGGATTGCGGCATGACCATCCCCCCTGGGGGGTGATTTCTCGCTTTCTGTCTCTATGTCTCTCTCTGTCTGGTGAGTGCACACGCCCTATAGCAAAAAAATAAAAATATAATTGAGAAAACCCCAAAGGTATCAGTATCTATACAGAAAGGTAGAAAGGTTAAGGGATTTTCTGAAGGTCATTCAGGCATGTAGAGGCCGATGTGGGGTTAAGACATAGGTTTCTATTCCTTCCCAGAATCTGCATGACATATAAAATGCCGAATGCTCTTTTAGCTACAAGGTATTACATATTCTACATATACGCGTCTAATCCTCACCTCAGTCCCATAGGAATGGTGTTATCTTCATTTAAAGTTGGCAAAATTAAGGCTTATCGGGAGATTAGGCAACAGACATGAGGCCACAATTCACTCAACAAATAATAGGTTTCAATTTCGGCTGAGCACCAGGCTTCTCAGGCACCATGCAGAGTGAGCCCAATTCAGTACTTAAGCGTTTCAGCCAAAAAAACTTGTATTGTATTGTATTTATGTGCTTGATGGAGAGATACAGAGAAAGAGAGGGCAAGTGAGAAAGCACCCCCTCAGGAGATGACCACAGGCAATGACCACGCTGCAGTCCATTCTCTTTTGGGATTGTGAGCACACACACGTGCCCGGCATGTTTTTCAAGGTGCCGGATTGAACTTGCGTAACTGGCTATGAAAGATCCGGCTGCTTTAACCATCCCGCTACCTAGTTGGCCCAACAACTTGTATTCTAAAGAAAATGTTTTTAAAAGGCAAAATTAATCAGTTGATACACTACAGGTTTTTGCGCTAACAGGCTGATTGCACATAGAAATGGGAGAAACACAGGATTTGCTCGGAAAGATTGCAGATATACGCAGGCTCGTTTTAATTAAGCAGGCCTGGATGCTGATTCAGTTGCTATGCACCAGAGCTCCCAGAAATTGCATGCAGAGGCCGAGAGACATACAAAAGGCATCATTAAGGAGATGCAGA